GTCCTTCTTGAGCATGTGATCAGCTGGTTCTGGTTGTCAGCAGCAAACTGGTTGATCCACTCTGAGAAGGTGCTATTTAAGAGACTGAGCTGAATTCAGCACCTCCGACTGAGGAAGTCTTTCGGATGAGAGACGAAACGTTTCTACAATTTTTTTGTTTTGTTTTATTTTTTGAATGTCCAAAGGACCAGATTTAACTTTTTTTAGATTTTTCTACCTGGATTATTGAGCATGCATCAGGATAATAGTTATTTTGGATCAGGCCGACTCTGTTGGATTTTTGTCTGCCTTATAGTTCCACTGGTACGTTTCAATGGTGACTCCAAACAGCCAAATTTTTGTGGTCAGCACCGCTGGGCCGAGCTTGTAGCTTCTCCAAGGTTGATTCCTTCCCGCCAATGAGTTTCATGAGCTGTAAGTGGCTTGTGATTCTCAGAAATCACATCCAGTTTATGGCTCAGGTCACACAGCATCTGAGTCTGAGTGTTCAACGCATGGCACATTACATCACACAAGTCGGGAAGCCTTACGATGGCCAGAACAGCTGCTGACGTTTTTCGATATTCCAAGTAACCTATACTATTGCTAGGCTAATTAAAAGTCCCATCTCTGTTGATTCATGTATCCCTGCAACTGCAAGTAGTGATGACTTCATGACCCTAACCCTAACCCTCAAATAAAATTGTTTAAAAATAAATTTTTATATAAATAAAATTATTATTTTTTGACGGCCACACTCTCTGTAGCTGCAGCTTCACAGGCTCCTGGTGTGATACCAGTTTTTAGGAGTTTTGAAATTGACTCCATGCCTGACTCGGTGCCTGACTCCGCACAATTTATGCGTGTGAATTATAGCTGAACCAAACTCGTGAGAATAAGAGTGGATTGGCCACGAAATACAGCAGCGATCAGCAACAAACTCAAATCTATGCTTGGCAGAATGCAGATCTTAAAGTAATCTACCTGGAAGCTGCAGCAAAGGTTCACCAACGGACAGAGGAGGAAGTGTTGCTCCCGGCTTAAGAAGCAAGGTTGACGGGCTGGAATTCTGGTGAGGCTACGTGCTAATGCTAAAACTGGCACTCTCAATACCCTCTCTCTTTCTGTCAAAAGTCAGCTCGTTGGACAACCAAATGGATTTGCTTCATCCGAGAACGAGTGCCTCAGAGGAGATGAGTTAATGTGTGGTGCTTTGCCTCATGGAATCATGGATTAACAGCGACATGCCGGATTCAGCCTTCCAGCTGGATGAAAGACTCTTTTTCGAGCGGATTGTTGCAGCGAGCTAACGGGGAAATCGAGGGGAAGCGGAGTATGCATTTACGTGAGTAAAAGTTGGTGCACAAACTGTACACTGATAAACCATCATTGCTCCAAGGCTTTGGAGCAGCTAACAGTGAAATGTCGACCTCATTATCTACCCCGCGAGTTCACAGTGGCCTTCATAACAGTTGCTTACATAGCTCCGGGTGCAAATGCTACTGACGCTCTGCAGGAGCTTCATGATCTTTTCATCTCGCTGCAGAACAAACACCCTGAGGCTCTTTGTGTAGTGGCTGGTGACTTTAATCACGTGAATCTAAAAGACTGCCTCCAAAAGATTTTACCAGCATGTGGCCATTCCAACATGTGGAAACAACATGTTGGACCGTGTTTACACAAACGTAAAAGATGCTTACAAAACTGAATCACTCCCCCAACTAGGATTCTTTGATCACATCTCAATCTTCCTGGCTCATGCTTACCTGCTCCTGCAGAGACGCTCCAGACGGGTACAAAAGAAAGTTAAATCTTGGATGCAGCATAGTGGCCCCATACTGAAAGACTGTGCTGATCAGCTCTGCAAGGTGCTGGCCAACATCTTTAACTCGTCACTTACCCTGGCAACAGTTCCCACCTGCCTGAAGACCACAACCATCATCCCTGTCCCAAAGAGCTCTACAGTGACTGGTCTGAATATCAGCCCGATAGTCGCTAAACGCTTCGAAAAACTGTTCATAACCCACATCAACACAACCATCCACATCAACGAGGACCCTTACCAGTACGCATACTACAAGAATCGATCAACAGAGGATGCCATCTCCTCTGTGGTCCACACTGTTCTCACCCACCCGAAAAACATGGATGCCTACGTCCATATGCTCTTTGTGGACTTCACGTCTGCCTTCAACATCATGATCCCCCAAACCGTGATGGACAAACTACTCACAGTAGGACTAAGCCCCTTCATTTGCAACTGAGTCCTAGATAGGGATGCATAGATCCACTTTTTTTTTTTATTCGATCCCGATACCTAAATCTGGATAACGGGTGACATTGATACTATTCCGATATCATCATCATTATTGATTTTATAAGAGGTTCTAATAATCTCCTGTACAGGCAAGTACACGTTGTACAAATATATGCATGCATGTCCAAAAAGGCAACTTGAGGTCAATTTTATTAATGTTGGATAAGTTTCAAAGTTGGAATTAAATCCTGCTAACACAAAACATGTTTTTTTATTCCTAGCTTTAAAGTCAGAGTCATTCAGAGTTTTATTGTCATTCCACCGCATGTGGTACATGTGGTGGAACAAGATTATGTTCACAGGGTCCCAGTTACATCCAACAATAAAATGTAAAAAACAGTAATAAGATCTAAGACATGAACTAAGAAAAACATCAGCTAAATATACAAGCACTAATAGCATAAAAACAATTTTATTTTTCAATTCATATGTTTTTTTATGATTGTCTACTGTTGTACTGATAAATATCTCCTGGAGGGTAAATGTAAACTATACCTTGGCTGCAAATATTCAATCAAGCTGTGAAGCAGACAGTCTGATTTCATTGAGCCGCGCTCAGTCAGCTCCTCCAGACGGACAGACTGAGCGCGGCTGACTGAAATCAGACTGTCTGCTTCGGACTGAACGAGAGGAACACACCGCTGAAGGCACGCAGCTCGAACGTCCAACGTAAAACTAACTTTACCACGGTGCCTGGTTAAACAATCCTTGTGCTCTTTAATGTGGTGCTTTTTCAAATGTTTATTAAGTTCTATGTATTGTAGGTCGTGACGGAGCTTCCTCCTCTTGGCTCAGCGGCTCAGCAGACATTGCACGTTGCTGTCTTGCTTTGTGGCGTCTCTAGTGTAAAATACTTCCACACAGTGGACATGTTATGATGAAAAGTTGGTTAGCTGTTAGCCACAGTGCTGCTCAGTATTTACTCACGTTGTAGCTGGCTGCAAATTATGAAATGGATTTCTTGAATGTGAGGCGGGTCTCATTACTCTGGGTTTCATGAAACACGCCTCCATTCAGGAAATCCATTCCATAGTTTGAAGCCAACGTGCAGAGCAGCTGGCAGGGAATCACATGTGGAGACGTTTCAGCAGACACAGACATGCATCATAGATCGGAAAAATCTGATACGTAAATTATGCTGGTATCAGAGACTTATACGGGTACCAGATCATATTGGCCACATCCCTAGTCCTAGACTTCTTAACAAACAGACCACAGTCACTGAGGATCTACAACTTCTCTTCCTCCATCATAACCCTCAGCACTGGCTCTCCTCAGGGCTATGTGCTGAGCCCTCTCCTGTTCACGCTGCTCACGTATGATTGTGCAGCTACCCATCCAGGCTGTCACATTGTAAAGTTTGCAGAGGATACAACGGTGGTGGGATGCATCACAAACAACTATGAGTCCAGCTACAGGCAGGAGGTGGAACACCTGGAGAGCTGGTGCAAGGTGAATAACTCTCACTTCAATGTGAAGAAGACAAAGGAGATGATCGTGGACTTCATAAGGAACAAACACACCTGACACCACCATCCTGATCAAGAAAGATCATCAGAGACTCTACTTCCTCAGACGGCTGAGACGAGCTGGTCTGGAAGCTCAGTCCTCACCTCCTTCTACAGGTGTGCAGTGGAGAGCATCCTGTGCTCCAGCATCAACGTGTGGCATGGAGGCTGCACAGCTGCAGAAAGAAAAGCTTTGCAGAGAGTGGTGAAGGCTGCACAGAAGATGTAGGAGTCAGTCTCCCCACCATCACAGACATCTACACCTCTAGATGCAAGAAGAGGACCACCTGCATCATGAAGGACCACACTCACCCAGCACACACACTTTTTGCTCCGCTCCCCTCAGGAAGGAGGTTGAGGAGCATTAAGTGTAGAACCACTAGACTGAGGAACAGCTTCTACCCTGAGGCTGTCAGACTCATGAATCTCTAACCAGAATAATCACTGTGAAAAACCACATCATGTTGCTGCTGATCTGTTTCATGTTGCTGCTGATCAGCTTCATGTTGCTGCTGATCAGTTTCATGTTGCTGCTGATCTGTTTCATGTTGCTGCTGATCAGTTTCATGTTGCTGCTGATCAGTTTCATGTTGCTGCTGATCTGTTTTATGTTGCTGTGTTTATTCATACTCATCTGCTCACACAGACTCATGTTCGTGCTGCTGTTTGGCGTATTGTTTTTGTACTTCTAGTGCTTAGTGTATTTTTAGTTAATGTTTAATTAAATTAGTTTAATTAGATACATTTTCTCAGTTCATATCGTAGATATTATTACTGTCTATGTTTTTTCTTTTACATTTTATACTTTTGTTGGATGTAACTTGTGTACACAATTTTGTTCCACCACTTGTACCACATGTGTTGCGAATGACAAACAAAGAAACTTTGACTTTGACTTTGAGACCTGTCCAGGTGTCCCTCACCCTTATGCACAGTGACTGCTGGTTAAAGATGATGGATGGATGGATGGATGGATGGATGGTTTTGGTCCCTGCATGCTGGAGTTGTCTTCATTGTTTCAGCTCCTGTTTGCAGTCATGGCTCCGTCTCTGTTTGACTCTTAATTCATCCGTTTTGCTCTTCGATGTTTTAGGTTTCCACACTTCTTCGATGCTTTTCTTTTCTTTCTTGGAGTGCTCGTTTCCCAGAGTTCTGCATGTGGGTCTCCATCTAGCCACCGATTCGTGTGTTCTGGTACTTCCTGTACGTGACGCCACTGTCAGCCGACTACACAGAGTGGACTGGATCACTGATCTAAGAGCTGCCCAACATGAGTTTACGGCACTTTTTTCCCATCACTGAACATTTAGCACCACTTTAAGTCTAAAAGTGATCAATCAGCAGTGACTTTTATTGGTCCACATATTAGCTGTATTTGTTTTATTTTATTTTCAGTGGAAACATGTGTTTGGCTGAATAGAAACGACACAAGATGTGATTTTTGTTCTCAGTTCTGCGCCAACACCGTTAATGTGAAACAGCATGTTTGTAAGAAGGATTCACACAAAACACTTTGAAACAAAAAATATAAATTATTAAAATTCTACAGTTTGCAAAATCTTTCCTTTAACTCCTAAAAACTAAAATCACTTAACCAACCTTCTTTTGCTTTTTGGGTTTCTCTTTCTTCTGCGCAGATTTTGCTAACTCTAAAAAAGAGCACAGGTAAATGAGGATACTTATATTTTGAGTTATTATATGTTAGGAAAGAGGCTTTAGGTTTGGAAATCAAACACTGGGCTTCATATTTACCCACAATAACAACAGGAGGTGTGTCTATCTGAAGGCTCTGAGACACGGCGATGGAAGCGAACGTCTTTTTAGTAGAAAGTCGGTCGTCAACGATCATGTGGGCGAAGCCAATATAAAAATGTACGGCAGCGAAGACGAGGCAGCTGAGCAGCAGCGAGGCGTGCATCTTTCTCTGGAACAAAACAAAGAAGAGGTGCTTGGTTAAAACATATTTTAAACTGTAGCATTAATACAACTTAATTTAAATCATGTTTCTTTATAACAAATATTATCAGCTTCTTGTGGTTATAGTTTTTGTGTAACAGCTTCACGTGAGCAGTTGCAATAAAAATGATGCCACTAAGGAGCACAAGCCAGTGTATATCTGGTTCTGGACCCAAGCCCGGGTAAATGGTGAAGATTTTGTCAGGAAGGGCATCCAACATAAAACACTTTTGCCAAAACTTTAATGCTGGCTCATAAAAGTGAAATCATACCAGATCGGTCAAGCTCGGGGTTAACAACGACCGCCACCGGTGCTGTTGACAAACAGGGTACTGACAGAAATTGTGCTGCTGTTAGTCGAAGACCACGAGGAGGGAAACATGTCAGGAGACAGAGGAGAAGAGGAAAGTGAAGAATGTAGGACTGAGAGTTGCAACTCTTAAATGTGGAGACAATGACAAGCAAAGGTTGAGAGCTGGCTGACATGATGCTGAGAAGGAAGGTAGATGTTTTATGTGTAGTTGGAGTGGTGCTCGGAACAAACCAGAATTAACATGTTGGTGAAGGAAACAGAGGGGATGAGGAAGTGATGGGTAGGTTTGGTATCAAGGAAAGAAACCAGTAAGGACCAAGAGAATGGAAATGGCTGTAGTCAACACCTATTTCCAAAAGAGGGAGGAGCATAGAGTGACCTATAAGAGTGGAGGAAGGAGTACGCAGGTCGACTACATTCTGTGTAGAAGAGGAAACCTGAGGGAGGTTGGAGACTGTAAGGTTGTGGCAGGGGAGAGCATGGCCAGACAGCATCAGATGGTTGTGTGCAGAATGACTGTTGTTGTGAAGAAGAGAAGAAGAGTCAAATCAGAGAAGAAGACCAAATGGTGGAAGATGAAGAAGGAAGAATGTTGTGAGAAATTCAGAGAGGAGCTGTTAAAGGCTCTGGGTGGTAAGAAAGAGCTTCCAGATGACTGGACTACTACAGCAACAGTAATTAGAGAGACAGGTAGGAAGGTACTTGGTGCGTCATCTGGACAGAGAATGGATGATCAGGAAACCTGGTGGTGGAATAGTGAAGTGCAGGAAGCTGTTCAAAGAAAGAGGTTAGCCAAGAAGAAATATGACAGAGAGAGGACTGAAGAGAGGAGACAGGAAGATAAGGAGATGGGACGTAGAACAAAGAGGGAGGTAGCTAAGGCAAAGCAGAAGGTGTATGATGAGTTGTATGGGAGGCTGGACACTAAAGAGGGCGAGAAGAACTTGAACTGATTGGCAAGATAGAGGGATCAGGCTGGAAAGGATGTGCAGCAGGTTAGGCTTGTTAAAGATAGGAATGGTAATGTTCTAACAAGTGAGGAGAGTGTGATGGAAAGATGGAAGGAGTACTTTGAGGAGCTAATGAATGAAGAGAATGAAGTCAGTTCAATCCGTTTATTTATATAGTGTCAAGTCACAACAGAAGTCGTCTCAGGCACTGAACAGAAATATTCAAATATAAAATAATAATTGAACAGAAACATTCATGTATAAAATAATAATTGAACATTATTTATCTGAGGAGCAGCTTTGAGTTTAACTCCATCACAGAACTCTCATGTTGAACAAGCATGAAGGCGACAGTGGAAAGAAAAACTCCCTCATGAGGAAGAAACCTTTAGCAGAACCAGGATCAGGACAAGAGGACCATCTGCTTCGACCGGCTGGGTTTGGTAGGAACAGATACACAATGGCAGGTCAAGAATCACATGTTAAGATAGAAATAGTATCAAATGAAAACTTCAGTTTTAGTGAATCATTTAAGGAAATGAGGTCAGTTTGTCCTCTAGTAGTCTAAGTCTATGGTTGTATAACAAGCCAACCCAAACTATAGGATTTATCAAGAAGGAAAGTCTTAATCCCAGTCTTCAAACCGGACAATGTGTCAGCCTCACGGACAGAAACTGGAAGTTGGTTCCTCAAGAGAGGAGCCTGAGAACTGGAAGAGCTTCCTCCCATTCTGCTTTTGGAAACTAGGAACCACAAAGAGTAGAGATCATAGAAACTGTGGACCAGGATGTGGGAAAGATCAGTGAGGGTGAAGTCCAGAAAACTCTGAAAGAATGAAGAAGGGGAAGGCAGTAGGACCTGATGACCAGTGGAGGTTTGGAAATGTCTTGGAGAGATGGCAGTGAGGTTTTTGACTCAAACATTCAATGACATATTTGAGGGTGAGAAAATGCCTGAGGAATGGAGAAGAAGTGCTGGTGGCCATTTTTAAGAACAAGGGTGATGTACAGAGTTGTAGCAACTACAGGGGAATTAAGATGATGAGGCACATGATGAAGATCTGGGAGAGAGGTGTGGAAGTAAGACTTAGACAAGAGGTGACTATCTGTGAGCAGCAGGATGGTTTCATGCTGAGAAAGAGAAAGAGCACCACAGATCCATCTTTGCTTTGAGGATGATGATGGAGAAGAACAGAGAGGGTCAGAAAGAACTCCATTGTGTCTTTGTAGATTTAGAAAAATCATCTGACAGAGTGCTGAGGGAGGAGGTGTGGTGTTGGATTAGGAAATCTGCAGGGGCAGAGAAGTATGTGGTACAGGACATGTATGAGGACAGCAGGACATGTATGAGGACAGCAGGACATGTATGAGGACAGCAGGACATGTATGAGGACAGCAGGACATGTATGAGGACAGCAGGACATGTATGAGGACAGCTGGACATGTATAAGGACAGCAGGACATGTATGAGGACAGCAGGACATGTATAAGGACAGCAGGACATGTATAAGGACAGCAGGACATGTATGAGGACAGCAGGACATGTATAAAGACAGCAGGACATGTATGAGGACAGCAGGACATGTATAAGGCCAGCAGGACATGTATGAGGACAGCAGGACATGTATGAGGACATCATGTGATGTAGAGTTGTTGTAGGTAACCAGGAAAACCCAGAGTGGACTTTTAGTGGTTTGAGTATTCTATTAATCAAGTGGAATGGATTTGTTCATGAAGAAATAGAAGGGCTGTGTGAACTATGTCATGGTAATCCAACATTTTTCAGTCAGGACATCTGGACAGTTTTTTTTTTTTTTGTGCTGAATCGTTTCGCCTTTGATCCAGAAGGCTTCATCAGTCAAGGAAACACACAGAACTGATTCTTCCCCCAACAGATTACTCCAAAGTGGAACAAACTGTCCAGATGTCCTGACTGAAAAATGTTGGATTGTGTACCTGGACTACTGAGCTTGGACTTTGTTGGTTATTTCATGGTAAATGTGGGGGTCTGAATGAATATTTTTAAACGTGAGGGGGACATGTCCCCTGCACGTATAATTGTTGCGACGGCTCTGGTGAAAGGGTTAAATCATTGTCACTGCTGAGCTCCGTTTTTCTTCCGTACGTTTTTCGACACGTAACTCGTTCCTCTGTTTTTGATCTGTTTCAGGTCGTGCATCAAATTGTTCAGCTCATTCAGGACATTCCTGCTGTGGCATTTGGTATTTGTGCAATTTTTACTTTTAGGTCATTTTAACTATTTTTGTCAGCCATGTTTTTCTCGATGAAAATGAACGGAGCTCTTCACGTCCTTCAATCAGTTTGAGCTGTTTGTGTTTTACGGCTCGTTACAGATGTTGTTCTGGATCCTTCTTTTTTTTTTTTGCTTCCTTTTGCTCCTTTCAGCTTTTTTATACTTTTCTCAGCTTCTTGCTGCTCGTTTCATTATTATTTTGCCAACTTTTTAGGAAATTTTCAACAATTTTTTTTTGCTAATTTCCACCTTTTTTGTTTCATACCAATAATTTTAACTTTTTATAATCATTTTCATCTCTTTCTGCCTTTTCAATTTTTGTTTCAGCTAATTACAGATTTTTTCTGCTGATTATTTTTGCTAATCACAGATTTTTTTGTCATTTTTTCAGTCTATTTCAGCTCATTTGACACATTTCTGTCGTTTTTCTGCCACTTTCTGCTTTTATTTTCTTGCTTTCAGCAAACGCCAGATGTTCAAATAAATCCCGCGTTAACAGTTTATTCATGAAACCGTTGGTTTCAGCTTCTGCAGCAGCTTTCAGCAAAAACAGGTCAGCAATGAGTGTTCTCATTGCTTTTCACAGGAAATGACATTTTTCTAGTTGTCTTGCTTAATGTTCGCTCAGAGGAGTGTTTCACTATCAGACTCTCGTTGAAGTGACTTTTTTCTGTAAATTGGCACTAAATAATAAAAATAACGTGTAATGAAATAGTTGATAATCCCGGTGTTTCCTTCTGCTGCATCTCTTTGGAAGGAGCCGGATGAGGAGGATCAGGAGTCTGAAGATTTATTGTGGGAACTTGTGGGGTTGGAAGGTATGAGACCCTGGAGCAGACCCACAACATTTGTATATTATTTGATGAGGTGAAGCCACAAAATCCTTCTGAAGGTTTAAAAGACAGGGAATTCAGGACATCTGGACTTCATTCCTGCCTTTCTGCAAACATGAACCCAACCACAAACTGGTGGCAAAAAAAAGAATAAACTGCATCTCTAATAACAAATCCTGTTACATGTCAGGTCTCAGAATGAGTCCTCGAGGCTCAATGAGACTAACCTGTAGAAATAAAGGTGGAATAAAAGATCAAAAGGTCTATTTCTGCTTATTACTGTAAATATGACAAAACACAAGGGTTATTTTTTTTTCCCCAAAGCGTAAAAATTTCTGGTCAGTCCATAATTATGTGTTAATACTCCACATTTATTATTTCTGAAATCTAGTGTTTGTAAAGACACTGAAGTATTTGCTGCACATGAGCTGATGTTTTTGTTCTGCAGCTGTCAGGTTTTAAACTGCTCCACATTCATTCCATCGCGGTGCGAACTAGAAAATTATACAAAACAGAGAAAAAACTGGACGAGGACCGGACGAAATAAAGACGTCAGTGAAAAAATAGTTTATAACAGCAGTGTCCATGTTGTTTTAGTGGAGTGATCCGAGACTCCAGGAGTTCCTGTGTGTTTTCTGGATTAAAAAACGTCTCCATCCATCCATCCATCCATCCATCCATACATCCATCCATCCATCCATACATCCATCCATCCATCCATACATCCATCCATCCATCCAT